ACATCTTTTCAGCGCAGTCCGTTGATCATTTACCGTCAATTACACGTATTGACATTTTGCCCACTAAACCATAATTTCGCCGCTTTTTTTTTTAAAGAGTGCGATTTTTACAACTGAGAACAAATGCGATCTATGTATTGACAAGTCATATCAATATGAACGATTATGTATTTATCTGAATATTTTTACATGAATTTTTTTTTGTTTGAAAAGCGTTTGCATTTGGCTCAAGTCCAGTCTGCCCGTAAGCTTAAAACGCGTTGAACCTTCTTGCATCGCCCAATCGTGCAAAAAATGTAAAATATACATTTGCCAGCATAAATGATATTAGGACACGCTCGATGCTTATCGTAGTTGACCGTAGGTTTCTAGGGTATTCAAATGCCCGTCTGTACGTGTCATTGTTGAATAATTAGCCTAGACTTTTAAAGCTGATTGGCTTATTAGGTGTTTATTTCACGCAACAATGGAATTGAATCTTGATGACCTTTGAATAGGGTATAAATATCTATCCATGCATGTTATTTTTCGTCTGGGCGTATTAGACGTGTGCCAAATAATCTGTGGCTTGCCTTTTGTTTGGAGAGGAGTTTTACGTCGTTTTTTAGCCTTACCTGACGGGTTTGTGGTCAAATTTGTTCAAGCGAACTTCAAGGATCATTCATAAAAGTCTCATACCTGGAGGCTGAAAGATAACAGCCCCGTGATTTCGATTGCACGAGAACTTTCCCTCCCAAGTAGCACTCGAACAAACATCAAATTGTTTAGCGTTTGATTTGCGACATGGCGGACACAACTTCGACGACAGTTACCGCTCCGAAACCAGCCCACAAGCGAATTCTCCACAACTTGAGGAATATTTCGCGCGACGAAATTAAAGAGTTGCTCCTTTATTTTGCTGTCACGCTCTCTCTCTTTCTGGTCGGCCATTTTCATTTCAGCTTCGCATGGATTATCATGATTCTTATGGTGTTCGTTAGCTGGGAATATCAGATGGACGAGAAGAACAAGCGAAGGGATCGCATGGAAAAAGCCCTGAAGTCTTCCTTTATCGATAAGATAGAGAATCTTCCCTCCTGGGTCTACTTTCCAGAAAAAGAGCAAGCAGAATGGGTTAATAGCATCATTGATCAAATGTGGCCCTACGTAGACGGCATGGTGTACAAAATTCTTAAAGAAACTGTCGAACCTGAGATGCAGAAGAACATGCCCAAAGCCCTGAACACGCTGTACTTTGAAACAATCGACCTCGGGAACAAGCCACCTTACGTAGCGAATGTGAAGTCGTATCCTAGCAAGGAAGAGAGGAAATCGGAGTTTATTTTCGATATGGATATAGTGTACAATGGCGATGCTACAATCAAGCTTGCAGTCAAGAAAGTGAAACTGGGCCTGTCTAACATTGAACTGCGTGGAGTGCTCAGAGTCATTTTCAAGCCGTTGGTTGCCGAATACAACCCTGTTGGAGGCGTTACAGTGTTTTTCTTGAACAGACCCAAACTAAAATTCGATCTAACCAATTTATTGAATGTTCTGGATCTTCCTGGGCTCAAGAGCTCTTTGCGCCGAATCACAGATGACGTCATCGCCTCCTTCGTGGTGCTTCCTAATCGTGTCGCCGTTCCCCTCGCTGCGGGTGTCGACGCCAGCGATCTTCAGTATCCAATCCCTGAAGGAGTCCTTCGTGTGAAAGTCGTGGAGGCGAAGAACCTGATAGCGAAAGATATCGGCTTCGTGAAGAAGGGAAAGTCTGATCCTTACGCCATAATTCGCATCGGTGCTCAAAGCTTCCGCACCAAGATGATCTCAAACGATCTAAATCCCGAATGGAACGAAACCTTTGAGGCGTTTGTGGATAACAGTGAGGGGCAAGAGCTTGAAGCTGTGATCTACGATGAAGATACATCTTCAAAGGACAGCAAGATTGGTCGACTCGACACCGAGATTGTTTCCACTGTGGAGACTGGCTATCAGGACCTCTGGCTACCGCTCGAGGGTGTCAACCAAGGGAGGGTCCACTTACAGCTAAACTGGTTCCCGCTCAGTGCCAATGCGTCAGACCTAGAACCCCCTCAAGGGAAGGGCCTCTCAGTAGCAGCGCTCATCGTGAAACCCATCTCTGCCGACGCCTTACCTCTCACTAGTGGTCAGAAGGAAGCCCTGAGGAGTGTTTACTGCGAGATCACAGTCGGCAAAACCACTCTGCAAACCTTCCAGTGCTATGGAGAGAAAACCGAATGGAAACAAGCATTGCGATTCCTCGTTGGCGACCCTGGGGGCCAAGAAGCTGAGGTTAAAGTGATCGAGGCCAAGGGCACCAAAACATTGGGTAAAATGTCGTTCGATATCCGCAAGCTGCTGAGCAAAGATGGTTTGACCGTGGAAGAAACCTTTCCCTTGAAGGAATCTGGCGAGAAGAGTACCTTAACCTGCCGCTTCACCTTGAGGGTCCTGAACACACCGGATGTTAATCCAAGCGAGCCTGAAACGAGGTAATTCAATGTTGGAACTTTTTTCATTTCTACGTATAACATTTACAACTGAAAAAAGGACTGGTACTTCTAAGAGGTGATAATTTTTTTTGGCATTTGAATTTAGGTGATATTTTTGTTTACAAATTTGGTGTCGATATTTGAGCTCTTTTTTAAACCCAACAACTAGGGGTTAGTCAATCTAATTTTAACAGTTTTGAGTGATGAACAGAAATTCTGATCTGCTATCATGTACGAAATAGTGCCTTGGTTTAGATGGATGATTTCTTCAGACTGAAATGCTGAGTACATGCGATGGTAGATTTGGAATTTTGTAGTTCATCAGGACAACTAAGTCTTATTGATAGTTTTGCATCTTCTCTGTACAGCGTCCTAATGATAATTTACGTTGTTGTATGGAGAAGTTTCAATTCATATATGGCTATTGGGTTGACTTCACTTAAACTGTAAAAGTTTTTTTCCACAGTAAGGAGTGACTCGGAAATTTGAATGTAGGTTTGCACTACAAGGAAATATTTGCACCTGTAACTACTCCAAAAAAATAAAAGCTTGTTAAGTGCAGGTTTAGCAAAAGTGCTCGAGATCATCGCAGATTTGTGATGATCAGGTAGTTGTACACAGCGTGTCACGCAGTTCTGTCACGCAGCATGCTGCGTGACAGACTGCTTTCAAAAACGATTGTTACCTTTCGTGCGTTGACATTCTCACAAGACATCCATGAGATAACGAAGACT